ACACACACACACACACATGTTTACACACAGACCCACGGCACTTACTTGCTCACAGCTGGATGAAATTGTCTCGCTGTCAAATGTATGCAGGTTGAGAATGGATTTTAAAATGTGGTGCCCATGAATAAAAACAGTCTCACCTAGTCTGCACAAAGAGGCTTCATAGTGTTTTTGTCTTTCACAGGCAAATTATCTGTTTATATTTCAGAATTAGAGTTTTCAAACTTTGTCATATTGATTTTTATTTACAGTGTAGGCATTGTAGGTGGTTCTTTGATTCACTTACAACCAGCTCTAACGTTCGGATTTCGTAAGCTAAGAGTACAGTTTCTTTCTTAACTTGAAACTTTTTCCACTCTGTTTGCTCTGTCTATTTGCTTCCGCGTGTATTTTGTGTGCAAAGTGCTGCCCCCTAAAATTATTGTTCAATGGATAAAATCTGTATCCTCTGTAGACCTTACCCGTGCATCAAGTTTGACCTACCAGCAACGCCTGAAAAAAGAATTGTTAAAAATGAATTAACCGTGCCACCACCCAAGTAAAAACTTAAAATGAGAACACATTGTCAAATTGCAGGTTTTAAAACAGGCCATCAAGAGTTAAAATGTCTCTTTAGCAAGTTTTGAAAGACTCAAGATCATTTTCCATGCAGCCTGGGCACAAAGCTAACAAGTCATCCAAAGCTCTCAATGGCAGAATTACAACAGCTCAGCCCTTCACTCATCAGCACCTCCTTCTCTCTTGTGTAATGTCCTTCCTCCATCTATCCCTCTCGCTCCATTGAACTGTCCTTTCGCAGGCTCCTTCACCACTGGGCTCTGGTCTCGTCACTACAGCAGTTAGCTCCGATGTCTCTGTTATCACACACACGTCTGTGATAGGCAGGACAAAAAGGGATCTCTGCGTCACTACTTGCCCTGTTTCCCCAACATTGCCTTCTTCCAGCCCTCTGTTCTCTCTTTCTTTTTATTTCTCTCATTCTCATTGTTCCTTTTTCGTCTTTGTTCTGCTGTATGATTGTTACTGACCCCCTTTTTGTCCTTTCCCAGTTCAAAGAAGTTTACTTGGGACTACGCCATGGTAGTAAATAAAAAGGGCACATTCACAACTATTCGGCTTTTGTCACACCTGTGCCTCTTTTGTTTTAATGCTAAATATGAATTGCTGCAAGGCAGAAAGAAGTGCGCCTTGGAAAAACGCTTTAGTCTTATAGGCAACCAGTCCTCGTGTCAAAATGCAGTCGTACAGGAAGTATTGAGATCCTTATTTAAAGCCCTTACAAGAAACTTTCATTTTCTGTCTTCTTGCTGATGGTTTCATTTTTTATGTAGGTCATATAAAAGCATCAGTATTAAATTGAGACTGTTTCATAACCAATTAAAATCTCCTTGTAGTAAGTTTAAGTAAAAGTAACTACTCCTGCATCCATAAGCAAAAAACTTTTATCAACATAAAGTACTGAACATATTAACATATGAAAAGTACTTATTATGCAGCAGGAGTGGTATATTATATTATTCCATCAGCAGTACTGAAGCAATTTATATGAAGTTGGGTTCTTTAGATTATAATATCACATTATAAAAGCTCATATGTTTAACATTTAACATCTTGATCTATAAATTAACTGTAACTGTCTGTTAATAAAAGTACTAGTAATATTGTTTTTAAAATGGAAAGGAATATAATGAAGTAGAAAGTAAATACTAAATAAATAGAGGAAATATTTAAGTGAAGGGCAAGTACCTAAAAGCTGTACTCACATACAATACATGGGTAAGTGTATTCACTTTCCACCACTACCCCCCCAACACAGTTTTTATCCAGGAAGGTCAAAGTGAATGGTCAAGTGAGTAGAGTTTCTCTGTCTTGCTCCCAGGCACTTCAGCAGATGCTTGACAACATCTGTCCAGCTGATTGTGAGGCATACACATGTCAACTCTGAGAAGACAAATGTTGAACCTTTCTTTTGACAGTATGACCCGCATGTGGTGCAGATAGCCAGCCAGATTTGAGGAACATCTCTCAAAACAATCCCTTTATTAAGTATTACAATTCACACATAACTGTTTGACTCTGGGGATAAAATGTGCCAAGAGCTGCTAGCTTTCATTGTGTTATGGCTGGCACAGTGCAGTACAACAGTAACAAGCACTGATGTCCACTGCTATCTTCCTCTTCCTCCTTCCCCTGGAAGGTTGAGAGGAGATCCGGTAATGACAGGAATTTAAAGGAGCCCCCGTGGCCCAACTCTTAACACCCGATAGGCTGACCAGTCACACCCTGCACACACATTATCCCTCTCCCTCTTCCACACACACACACATACACACACTCAGACACAAACACACACCCCCTGTTTTCTGCACTAGAATTAGCCGTTGGCTGCTCTCCAGTCACATCCGCTCAATAGTCCACCCTTCCAAAAACCACCTCTCTCTCTTCTCATTGTTCACTGGAGCCGCACATTGCCACAGTCATAGTTGTGTCACAGCAATCAATCACCCATCAATGTGAAACGGCTATACCAATACAAAGAAAACACAATACAACTGCACTGTAATTTCCCCCAAACTCCTCCCTTACTATCACCTGACATCTGTCCTTTGGAATCTCCATCACACTGCTTGACCTCCATCTGGTCCTCTCTCTCTCTCTCTCTCTCTCTCTCTCTCTCCTTCTCCATAGCTACATACATTGGTTGCATACAGACATCACACCACTTATCACCTCACTCTAATTCAGTCGCTCGATTCATTATCAAGTGGACGGCCCTCTCACACATATGCAAACACACACAAGTCCATTCGCACATGCAAGCATTTACACTTGCATTTACACAAACACTACTGAGCTATACAACTCAATATGCAGATCAAATGTAATGATTTTTGGTTATTTCAGATTTTTCTTAATCCATTCTGACTGTGTTGTTACATTATTTCAGTAACACATTACAGTCAAGTCAATTTTATAGCCCCATTTCACAAATCAATCTGAGCACGGTGGTAAGAGTGACATTTTGCGCAGGACGTTCGTCAATTAAGGGAAATTGGGATCACTAGGTGTTTGTTTTTGGCCCACAGCCCACCATCAAGTTTTTGCCCTCCCAGGAAAAAAGGTTTTGAACTGATAAATGTAATAGAAAGCTCACACATATTTTTAAATGATCATTGACTTTTAGTCAACAAGGACTTTTTTTTCTTGAACTAAAAAAAAACATAAACATAAAAAATCAGCATCAGCAATTCAAGCAAATCCTATGACACAAAATGTATCAATATCATCATAACTGTTGGTGACATTATCATAGTCATCATAATCATCATCATTACATTGCATCACGGCTAATCATTATCACATCTATCATCTACCCATTATTCATTACTCCTTCTGTGCTCGGTATCATCCATCCTTCCATCCATCCTTCCATCATCCTTCCATCCACCCATCCTTCCTTCCATCCATCCATCCATCCTTCCTTCCATCCATCCTTCCTTCTATCCATCCATCCTTCCTTCCATCAATCCATCCATCCATCCATCCATCATCCATCCATCCATCCATCCATCCATCCATCCATCCATCCATCCATCCATCCATCCATCCATCCATCCATCCATCCATCCTTCCATCCATCTACCTTTCTCAGTTCATACCTGGAGTTGGTCATGTCAGTCTGTCCTCCCTGACTCTTCTCTAGCCCGAGTTTGGTGAAAATCCCGACCAAAACCATGATTGCCACCACTCCACAGATAATATACACGATCATGTGGGTTCGATCCCGGTCTGGTTCCTCTTGGACTTCCGTGACGGGTGCCGCTGGTTTCCCGGTGTTTGCCCAGACGGGTGTGTCGTAGTTGGAGCAGGAAGTCTGGTCCAAACTGTGGACTTTGAACTGGCAGCAGAAGCGGTAGAAGCAGGAACCACAACAGAACAGGTAGATACCTGCGTTACAATTGAAGGGTGGGTCCCACTGACCCATGACATCATAGTAACCCCAGCAACGGTTACCGACAGATGGGACTGTTTTGTCTTCCGTATCTGGTGTGGGTGTTGCCAGTGCGGCTTCTGGCACCACAGAGGGCTCTGTTGTCTGGTTATTGACCTGGGCTAAAGCTTGACCTGACGGCCGAGAGTTCAGTCCACCCAGAGAGGTCAAACCCAGGAGAATAGCTAACGAGAGGCTTACCAACAGTGGATGCATGGATGCAGCCATCTTGGATTTACTCCAGTGTCTTGTGATGGCTTGGTGCTGATGTGTAATTGTTAATGATAGGCCGAAATGAAAGCTCCGGGTTTACAAAAAACAAAGTTGAATATCCGTCTTGCCCAGAGCTTCAAATTCTAGTCACTGAATAATCTCTGAGCCTTTCAGGTAGAAATCAGTGAGGGGGCGGGGTCAGCCTATATTCAATAGAGAGCCTTCAATTAGCGTTGTGGGAGTGCACACAGTTACAGAAAGCTAAATTGTCGTCAAGGGGCAGAAGAACAAGTGAGTGAAAGAAATCAATCTCCCATCTCAACATGCTCCTAACAGGAGTGAATGAGTCCCTTGTGAGCAGGCACTCACATGTGCAGAGACATCACAGTCCCTTGCAGTTTACTGTACAGTCTATGTGTATCGTAGGTGTGTGTTTTTTTATCAAAGCAAATAAATATTCCGTAATTCAGGAAATATCACCTTTCACAAAGCCATATGTCGTCGGCAGACAGCAGAGGCGGTTGAAGACAAATCCAAATCCGGTGGCTTGGAGGGAATCCAGTTTAGGAGGGCGTGTTACGTACAAATGAACTTGCCTCTGGCATTTCCAGCAATACGCTCCCCCGCTGAGTGGATGAATAATCCGTGAAAAGTGAGAACTCTGGGTTCCTGGGCGCTATTGGAAAAAGAAGGCAGATTCCTCTAAAACTCACAGATAGTCACAGGCTCCCACATGAAAGGCTTTTCACTCCGGAGACAGACTCATATTCCTGAGTGGATAACAACTCTAATGCTCAACACTGGAGTCAAAGCAGTTCTGAAGTCCTGGCGAAAACTCTAAAAAGAGTGAAGTGTTCCCTCTCAGAGCTTAACTGGCATCTATCATCCTCCTACTCTCAGTGTTACTGTTCAAAAGAGGCTTTTTTATTTTTGTAGTGGGCATCTTTTTCGATGCCACCTTGGTCCACTTTGGGAAACGTTACTCCCACCTTGAGATGTCTAGATCCAGTCTTTCAGCCCCTGATGTCTTTATGAGTGATATTAAATATTGAGCTTTTATTTTGTAAAGATTATGTAGGATATATCTCCTTCCTATTTCCAGCCCAAGACCCAACAGGTAACCACAGCTGTTCAATAGTCTTTAAAACATTACTCCAGGCTCTCGGCAAGCGGAAATCCTATGATGATTACAGTCCAAAAGCGTCCCTCTTGCACCTGAGGCGTGTTTTCTGTCACGTACACACACAATCACACACACACACACTCTCACACACACTTTCACAAACAGCTCAAATCCCCCTGGTGACAGTGCTCTGTCAGTGTCAGTCTGTAGCTTTTAGGCGACACAAGGAGTCCAATGGCTTTTTGTTCCTCGGCGTGCGCGGGGGGCTCCTGCTGCTGTCTCTCCACTGACACCCCTCCTCTCCGTGGATCCCAGGGTCCGTAACAGACCCGGGACACCAGCTGGGTACTACTGTCTATCAGCCTGCTCAGTCCTGCCCTACAAGTGCTAAGACTAAGGGGAGAGGAGAGAGGAGGAGAAAGGGAGAGGGGGAGGGCTGGTGTTGTGATACTGAATCTCTGATCTTAATGTCTTAGCGTTGCTGCACCCAAGACTCAAGAGAAGCTGTAAAAAGAGATGCTGGATTTACTTGACCACAGTGGAGTGTCCCACATAACGGATCTTGTGGCTTGTTCTTTGATGTTTTTTTTTTCTTTCTCCTTCCTTGGTTTGCTTTTGGCTCAGTTTTTGGTTATGTCTCTTTGTTTACACTCTGATCCTATTCTCCCTCTATGCTTCTCTTTGGTATTTTTGCCTCTTTCTCTCTCCCACAACTTACCTCAACCCTTTCCTCTCTGCCCGAGCTGGGCTGTGTGGGCTTTTTGTCGATTGCTGAGGAAATATCAGCGTGGGGTCAGAGAGCCTGTGGACTGCCCTCTGCACTTTCAGCGGCGCGCTTGCACAAGCCTCACTGGAACAATGCTCTCCCTGCCCAATCGGACGACAGAGACAAGTGGAGATGCGACAGCCAAAACAGCCGTGTGGCAGCAAGGGCAGATCAAAAAATATCCTGTTTTCAAAAGAAGCCCCCTTGGAAATATAGGACTGCCTGCAGCAGAAGCTCTTTGTTGATGTTATTGTTGTTGCTTCAACAACTCAGTGCCAGTTTTCAAAATTTTCCCTTTGCATCAATGTATTTTTTTGTCTTTTTTCCCTACTGAGCAAAAAAATAAAATAAAAAATCTCAAAGCACTAATCTGCAACAGTTTTTAAGCAAATGCTGCATATGATCTCGCAATTTTTCATTCAATAGATTTTGCTGTCAATTCAGTCCTTGTCCGGCTGCAGCTTCTTTGAAAACAGGCATAATTTGATATATATGTATAGGAGTTTTATATATATATCATATGTATGTGTTTTCACTGGTGCTCTGCTTGTGGAATGCTGGGAAGAGAAAGGAGAAGCAATAAAATATATATTTTTTTATTCCATCCTTTCCCTTTGTTGTTGCTTCTTCATCAGTGTGTACTCCCTTATTTCCTCGCTGCCTTAGTGCGTCTGTATCCCGTCCGCTGGTGATGCCTGCGCTGCTGCTGCTGCTCTCTGGCATGCCTGTATGACAATGTCTCACACACACTCTCTCTCTTTCTCTCACTCCTCCCTCTTCAACTCACTCCTCCCTCTCTTGCTCACTCCTCCCCTCCCTCTCTGTGTTTCTCTCTCTCTCTCTCACACACACGCACACATCTTTTGTGGGCAAATGAGCGCAGCTCTGGCTTGCTGACTCTCCCTTTCACTCTCCTCCTCTCTCTCTCAGTATGTGTCACTGACACTCTCCTCTCCCAGTTTTGTCCCACGTTTTTTGCTTTCTTTTTTGGCTCCCGACTATCAAAACTCACTTCTTGTCCTTTTTTTCCCCCTTCACGTTCTCTCCGTTCTTTCCCTCCTGTTCTTTTTTATCCATTCATCTTTGTTTACTTCCTCTTCGTCTAACCTTTTCAGTTTGTTTTGGCTGCCTCTCCTGCCCCCTTCCTTCTTCTTTTTTTTCCATTTTCCCATTATTATTAAGCTATTCATCCCGGCTCCTTTCATCTTTTCCCTGATTCTCTTTCAGTTTTCTACTGTGCTACTTTCCTTTCCCAAAATGCCTGTCAGTCCAACAAATAAGAGCATTGGTGCCGACAGAGTGGCAGTTTGTAATGTGCAGGCATGCTAGCATGTGCAAGTGTGACGCATGTGTGTGTGTGTGTGTTTGTGGGTTGGTGAGTGTTTGCGCCTGTGCGTAATTACTGCACTAATACCACTGCACATCCTCGTCTTTGTGTGAGCACGTCTGGAACATGTGTGGTGCTGCAGTCTATAAGGGCTGATTTACGGAAAGAGAGAGAGAGAGAGGGATGGATGGATGGTGAGAGGGAGAGAGGGAAGGAGGAAGTGAGATTGAGGTGAACATAGAGGAAGAGGTAGGCAGCAAGAGAGGTAGGGGAGGAGAGAAGAAGACAGCGGAGCGGCTGCCAAAGGGAGAGGAAAGAAGGGGCTTGACAGAGAGGAGCAGGGGAGGGAAAGAGGAGAGGAATTATCGCAGGGAAGGGAGGGGGATTAAGAAACATGGGGAAAGCAATTGGAATAGGAACTGACAGAGGGATAGTGGAGGGAGTGGGGGAGAGATATAGATAGGAAGGGAGGTGCAGACAGGTAGGAGGGGGAAAAAAGACAAGCTATCTCAAGGGAAAGTGACATATTAGATCTAGAGAGAAAGAGAGAGGGAATAGTATTCAGAGAGAAATAGTCAAGGCTAGAGAAAATTCCCAGGAAATAGACTGTAGAAAGAGATGGAGAAGCAAAATGTTATGAATTTTGAATAATCCTGGTTATAATGTTGAATGTGAACTAGATTTTAAAGTGCCTTTGGGTGTGACCATGAACCAGGCATAATCAGAAAACACTGAGAGAGAAAAAGCAGCAAAAATGCAAAAAATACTGCTTAATATTTTATTCTGTTTGTAAGTGGCATAACATAACATTATATTCATCTTAAATATTCATTTTTGCTAACTTCTTCCCCCCGCATAAAAGCTTAAAAGCTTTTCTTTAATTTCCCTGTCACCCTTTCCTTTTTTGTCTTATTCTTTTCCCCCCTCACACACACTTACTACAGACTCTTTGTGTCTGTTTTGGTTGTTGTTTTTACTGGAAGAACCCCCAGCTCATCTTCGCTTGCTGTTTGTTCTCTGTCCAACCCTCTCGGCCTAAATTTGCTTAAAATCTTTGGCAAAGTGCATCAGGAGTTATGTCAAGAATACACACACACGCACACTTACAAAATGCACACAAACACACTCCCATGCCTTCACTCTACAGTTGCGTGATGCACCATAAATCAGCTAATCCCCCTCCTTCCTGCAGTCTGACATTAAAGTGTCCTCAGCACATTTTCTCTAATGGAAAGCAGGTCATTAATTTGAGAAAAGAAATCAAAGTTGGGGTGAATTAAGATTGGTCTACTACCAATGGATGCACAGGACACCTCTCAATGCTCACGAGGCAGGGAGACATGGGAGCGAAGGGTGTTGGCTGGAAAGCGAGGTGGGAAGGAAAGAGGGATAAGATGGATGGAGAGGAAAGAGATGGAATCAGAGGAGGAGTCCTAGGGGAGAGACAGAGGGCAGAGAGTACGGATTGAACAGGAGATCTGTCTTAAATCATCCCCCCCTCTCTCTCTTTCTCTTTTTCTCTCTCTCTTTCCTTCTCTCTGTCTGCTTGGCTATGGTCTCATATTTTCCACTCTATATCTGTTGTGTTCTTTTTATTCTCTTTCTCTTGCATATATACAATAATAATTTCATATATGTCTTGTTGTAAGCTAGTAAGCCACTATCTGCATCATCTGTTTATGTCACAAAAATATCTGTATAGTGGAATCATGCCTACATCAGAAGTTGTTCTCCCAGATTACATGCTCCCCATACATACCACTTTAAGGTTAGCTGCCAAAAAATATGATATGATGGTATGATTTGGATTGTATTTCTATATAAAGAAAGTACCAAAAGTCTCACTAAAAGCTGGAAATGCATAATGGATAAAACACATGCATAAATAAATAGCAGAACAAAACAGAATAC